TAACAGAAGTTAACTTGCTATATACAATGAATAACTGCCCACTTCAAAGTACTGAACACAACTGGGATTTCTAGTAATGTCGAGAAATTAGAAAGTCATTTTAAGACGTATTTCGCTACCTAGATGAAAGGCGTTTCCCCATACAAAGGGTATATTTTATTTCCCTTTTACCTAAATCTGGAATGTACGAAAGCCTATTGTTCTCAATTTCGAAGAAGACACTAAATTTCAGAAATTTCGTGAAACTTTTGCGATATAACGCGAAACTTAATTTCCGAATATTGCAAATTTCGCAAAATAACGTGATACTACCAAACTTTCACTTGACTTTTGCATTATATCGCAATTTTTTTTAATGTTTTCTTTATTCAAAATGACCACAGTAGACTTTTGTAGGATTGAACCTGTGAAGTGTTAGGTGAAATATTATAAAATAATCATTTATTTTGTCTCTATCCTTTATTGAAACATCACAGAAAGGGAGGATTTTATCAGTGACATTTCTGTTGCAGTTCTCAGTGTTATCTGAGGCTGGCTCAGCAAACAGACACCAGAAAGGTACAGATGTTTTAGTTTTCTCGAGGAAAATCTAACATATGGAATTTCGCTTTTGCATTTCGATATTATTTCATTGTGCCAATGTCATGACTGTCATTTGCTGAACTCCTCTTTCCCACACTATATTAATATTCAGTCAGCTTCGGGCCAGGTGAGCTAAAAACAGACAAACAGAATAATCTTGTTTTCTTGATACGAACAGTTACGTTTCTCAAGTGGGCTGAATATTAAGACACCCCTGAATGTGGGGGATCGGGTAAAGAATACACCTGCTGTTACCCACGGCATGTATCGTAAGAGGCGACTGAAGTGGAAATACCTGCAGAATTGGGGATTTGCTTTCGCGTCCTCTGTTTGGGGACACAAAAGCGACCACAATAAATCTGCTGCACCCATTGCAATATTTGGGATCTTTATCTTTATTTCTACCTATAACTTCCTTTTATTTCCTAGCGCCTTGCTTGGCAACACCTCACTTTTGGCATAAATGTTGAACGTTCGCCCAGGCGAGGAAGGCAATTGGTTCTGTCCCAAGGCCGGGACATACTAAAGTCCTTAAAAATGGTAGTTGTTATTCCCTGCTTAATGTTTAGTGTTTAGGGGAACGGCAACAACTGGTTCACCCGTTGTCAGTATAATGTGACCGGGCGGAATGCTGTGCTGGGTGCCTTCGGCATGGTATTTCAGTGAGATAGCACTATAAAGTCGGTATCAGATCCGCGCAAGCACCCCAACATACCCTGTCTCCTGCATAAACACACGCAAGCACGCATACACAACACACACGGAGGCACGTCCTTAAATGACCATAGCTGTTAATAAAACCAAACCAAATCAAACTGAATATTAAGATATTTTTCAGCACATAGCCACACCACTATCACATTATAAGCTCTCTTGACTCTTCAGGCCTGGTGACCAAAAAAATCAGTATTAATATATCATTTTTGATTTCAGGCATACAATCGACTTCTGAAATTATTTTGATGATACCCTGTAGATACCTTTAAAACTCCATACGATTTTGTTTAACTTTTGGAATATGAAAAAATTATGACTCATTATTTTCCAGATTTATTTCGATAGGAGAGTGGGGATGAAATGGTTGATTCGATGCCATATTTAGAAGTCCTAAAATTAGAATAGATAAGAAGGATCCCCCATCTTGAGGTAAATGGCTATCATAATTGAAAACGGATGGTAATATCAATATATACAGTTACATGCATTCGGGAAAAATATCATAATATTCACACCCCTGTGAAATATAAATGTCATTTATGAAGAAACCGCTACGTTTTTGTATTTACTGGTGTTAACATCCGTTTTCATGGTCACAGGGATCAAAGATAGGGTCAATGCCTATGGAGATTTAACATTAGTATCGCCCCCCGCATGGAATTCAAAACAAGATAACTACAAAAAGTATGGGTATAGGAAGCTTAAATCAGGAACATTTAGCTTCAGAATCCATTTTATGACAAATGAGACCTCATTAACTTACACCTGTGCGGGTGTTAAAAGTGCGGTAATACAATCCTACTAGAGCGTTTAAATGACACAATTACTATAAACTATATCATCATCGTGTGCAACATATTCCTACTTTCATTTTGATACCGAATATTACACAATTTCAAGAAAGAACTGTTCTTTTTATTGAAGATTTAAGCAGAAAAGGACATATGTATGTGGAATGTCATTACTAATGAGAGGATTCCCATTTAGAACACGTCAATTTGTATAGTTCTAAAACAAGTCGAATTTTCATACTTGCTAAAAAGCTGGTTACCAATAATATCTTTCAACATCAGAAATTCATAAAAAAAATGACAACCAGTAAGTTTGTCATATACATATGTAACACCTTGATTTAAAAAAAACAAGAGATCCCAGAGGGAGAGGGATCTTGGCGCCCACCATTGTACCATAGTCATTAGTTCTTTGTCAATTTGATCTTTTCTCTTCCTTTCTCTAAATCTGTTTGAGCGAGTCATGTTAACATGAGTAAATGCACATTGAAGTAACTATTGGTCTTAATACTGCTGTGTATAAAGGATAGCCTTCAAAGTGAGTTTGTCGTCCCAGATATTTACTACTAGTAATTAAGGTAAAAGAAATAGAACAAATTATTACAATATGGGAATGATAAGTAAGGTACTTCTTGCAGCTATCTTCTTTGACCGACCGCAAAATAAAACATGTACAACTCAGAATCAAGGGGAACCTACATATCAAATTTGAGAAAGATCCCTCAAGTACTTCCTGAGAAATAGTACTAACAAACCATAAATGTCAAAATCCAAGATGGCCACTTGTCGGCCGTTTTGTTTATATGATCAGCCTCAAAAATATAGATGAACAAGGGGAACTTACATATGAAATTTGAGAAAGATCCCTCCAGCAGTTTTTGACAAATAGCAATAGCGAACCTTCCAAATCCACGATAGCTGTCTGTCGGACATTTTGTTGATCTAATCAGTCTCAAAAGTAAATAACTACAGTCCAAGGGAACCTACTTATCATCACATTTGAGAATGATCTCTCAAGTACTTCCCGAGAAATAGGATAACAAACTTTCAGTCAAAATCCAAGATGGCTGCCTGTCGGCCATTTTGTTTATCCTATCAGTCTCGGACAAAGGGCTATTTGAATAGCCCACCATCAGATGATGGTGGGCTAAAAATAGCTTTCTTTCCACTTTTCCTTTAATTTGTCTTGATATTTGGCATGTAGGTTGTTCATGTGAATGGATATAAGTTTTGTTAACCTTGGTGAGTTTGACCTTCGACAAGAATTAAATGTGCTAAAATAAAATTTTGTATCTTTCCTTGATTTATTTGTTTAATGTTGAAGATACAAAATAATGTAATATTCCTTCATATTTTGTTTAATTAATGGGCAAAAAAAACAAAAAAGAATAATAATCAAGTGTATGTTTGTTTTATTTTTAAGATTATTTCATTGTTTTTATATATCTGCATATCTTTGTCTATAACACAATCTCAACCTTAAGTAGTTATCCAGAGGAAAGATTACTTTGTCAGAAAATATATTCATGAGTTATTACTACTGCACATAACTTTCAAACATGAGTAATGTAATATGTGTTTTTATATGATGCAAAAACAGAAAATGTATCAGTATTTACCATACCTTTTGATAATCAAATCTTCATGATTATGTGAAATTGTGCATTGGTCATGTTTGGCATGCTGAAAAAGTATGTTACCTGTTTTGATATTACATAAAAATTATTCTGTACACAGAATATATATATGGAAAGTTTTTAAAGAAGTAGAAAATATAGACTATTATTGTATCAATATATATATATAGGCAAGTTGACAATGTTGGATACATTAAAATTTTGTAAAAATTTTGCATATTTTTCTAATTAAAAGTATCACTACCCTTACTTCATGCATATCAATATGACATATTTAGTATCAAAATAACAGTAATTGTAATCACTATACACAATCATAATTCATTGTTGTTCTAATCAATATGCAAGATTATCACAGACAGTTTGTCTGGAAAAAATGCAACACATACTGATGATGTGTACACACCATCACATGACTTACACACCATCACATGACTTATACCATCCCATGACTTACACACCATCACATGACTTATACACCATCCCATGACTTACACACCATCACATGACTTACACACCATCACATGACTTATACCATCACATGACTTACACACCATCACATGACTTACATACCATCACATGACTTACACACCATCACATGACTTACACACCTTCTCATACTAGGTACATATTTGATATGTGTAATTAAGTCCATTGTATCACAAGTAATGACGAAATGAAGCATCAGAATCCTATAAATATTTAGACAAATTGAGTTGACATGTAAAAAAAAAAAAATCTCAAACATGTTCCTATTTAATCTGGTTTTTCTGAAATGAGCTTCAAATTGTAATAGGAACTGGTTTGAAATCCTTCATATATAAATATGTATTTCTTGATGTTTGGGTAGAAATAACATTCACTAGGTGGTATGGCAGCTTGTCTCACTGGGATGTTAATAGTACTGTCCTGTTAAGTCACCTCTGCAGATTTGAGAATTATCACCGGGCTTCCGATTCCCTGTCCTGACACTCAAGATTAGTGGAGGATAAGCTAGGTTATGATTGGAGTATCACAGACCTGTCTACTTAGCTATAGCCACTCATCGTGATAAGTGTTGGATAGGCGAGGTTAAGAAAGTTGAGTTTAGTTTAATTTGGTTTATTTTCTGATACAGGATCTATACGATCATCTCCACTGGACTCAAACGTGTTTTTTAAATATACATATATACATGTACACATATTTATATATCTACATGTACACATATATATACATGTACACATATATATATATATATACATGTACACATATATATAGATACATGTACACATATATATAGATACATGTTCACATATATATATAGATACATGTACACATATATATAGATACATGAAAGTTTGGGTATGGACATCATGTGTTTAACAAGCTATGTTAACTCTGAAATTATAAATAATTGCCTGGTCAATCCGGTGTTTATCGAGTCTGTTCTTAAATGTATTTATTGATGGTGCTGATATCATATCCTCTGGAAGACTATTCCATAATTTTACTATTCGTAGTGAAAAGAATTTTTTCCTTATTTCAATGTTTAAATGTTGTGGGTAAAGGTCCTTGGAATGGAATGAGATTAAGAATCACAGGCCTGCAAATTTAGCACCTATTTTGCATATCCTCCAGGTTAGTGTAAGAAAGGCTAGGTTAAGACTGAGTATCACTGGACTGTAGACTTCGCTGTATTGTTTAGCCTCCCCTCCAGGTTAGTGTAGGAAAGGCTAGGTTAAGATTGAGTATCACAAAGCTGCTGATTTCGATGTCTTATTGAGCCACTCCTCCAGAGCAAATTTGGTCCCAGTGCTGACACGTTCTCCGTCACTTGTATCACTTGACGTGTTGAACAGTGGCCGGAGAGGGACGTCACTTGTCACCTGTTTCTTATCTTCATCTCGTATGATAAGTCCCCTGGAAAAAGAAAGAGTTGCAAACAGTAATTAAGTTTCCCGCCTAAAAATCCTATTATGGGGGAAATGAACAGCTTTGTAAAATTTCCTTCAGCAAATAAAGCAATTAGTCTAAACTTTTATCCCTTACAGGAATACATGTAACCACCATCACTTATTTAAAATAAGAATGATCTTGGCACAGGGAGGCTTCATACCAGTCAATATTTTTATCTTTCAATCCATCCTGAAAGAGCAGTTGCTTAAATATATCCTTAATTCACATAGTGGGATCAGCTTGTTAACAAAAATGGTCCACACATAACGTTTTCACAAAGTCTTATTATTGGCCTTGAGATGCTTCATACCAAATTTAATCATAATCCTTTCTGCTATTCTTGGTGACATCTTTTTTCAAAGGAAAAGTGATAGACTGATAATGTACACCATACCAAAGCCCAGGTAAGCTAACAAACGATCAACAAAGGAAGGTAGGAGTTGGATCATCAACTTACTTTAACATGTCTGGTAAATTTAATTGGTTGAAGTCAATATCAGACTTTTCCTCCTCATTGCGGGCCACGATATCCTGTGAGATTTTCCTGTCAAGCCACACACACGCCTCAGCCTCCTCCGGCTGCAGTTGGATGCTCTCCGTAAGAACATCGGATGTGAGGTCAGAGGTCAGCTTCCCATACAGGTAGACAACAACATGGTGGCGCTTTGGCAGTCCGAGGGTCAGTTTGGGAGGAAAAACAGACTGAAATAGAACCAGGTTTCTTATTCATATGGATGTGTAACCAATACATGACCATGTAGGCATCAAGAACGAACTGATTTTTTCAGGGTATCAAAATTGTAACATCCGGGAGTGCAGTGTGTGTTAGTGATATGGGTAAAACCAATGTTAATGTATAACATAGGTCCCAAAGGGCCAGCATCAATACAACTGTAACACTGGGATCACTCCTGTGTGATGTTAAGAGAATTCTCAACTTCAGTTTAAATGTTTTAGGTTTCACAATAGACTGAGAAAAAAGATTGATTATATATATATATTCCTACTCTATAAAATACTCTGTTGTAACGGTAAACCCTGTCTGTCCCAGTGTTAGCTGTTATTATCACTGACACATGAAATGTTGGACAAAATTGATGACCCAATCCTATTGTGGTATGGATCAGTTCTGCACAAAGTGACGATGCAATAATTTTGTAAATTGGTGATGTTTTCAAAATAAACGCACAAACGGGCACATGTGAGCTGTTTTTCCCTAAAGCAGGTATAGACAGATTTATCTCTCCCCTATAAAATATGGGAATACGCCTGTGAAGTGCTGGAGATAGCTCTATATATAACCTACCTCCCAAAGGGCCAGTATCTGTACATTACCCCCGACACACTGGGAGGGCAATATCTTCAATCCAGTCTCCTCGTGCAGTTCTCGCAATCCTGCTTCAATGAACTGAGAAAAAAGAACAACAACAAATATCAACAATACCAAAGCACTTTCTAGACCTTTAGTCCTGAATAGGGAAAGCTAATTGTTAAAGATTTTACTTTGTAACCTAACTCCTTATATTGGGAATCATATATCTCCCATTCTTCAAATTATTAGTATGTTAAAATGGAATTTTCTCTTCAGGAGTTCCAGCGGAAACTTAGAACAAAAATCTGCATAGCAACATGTGCTTGAACCAACTTCAAATATGAAGATGATAACAGAAAATTACATGGTAACAATTTCTGCTGAGTGGGTAGTTAGTGTATGTTCTTTTCCTTATTACACACCCATTTGAAATAAAACCTAATATCTAATCAAATCATGTATTCAAAATAATAAGTTTTCTATTATAACTGGTAATTGCCAATACAACTTACCGTTTCATCTTTTTCTACATGTCCACCTGTCAGAACAAAACACAAACTTCCATTGAAAGATTTTATCACATATACAAACATTCAGATAAATAGATTTTAATAGGTGCTTGAAAAAATTGTCATTAAGAGATTTCGGTTATTTACATTTTACTGTTAAAGCGTGCAGTTGTAATACCTCTTCTTTAATATAATGCCATAGACATTATAAACTGTTTATCACATGATGTACTGTGTTATCCAGTGAATATACCCATGTCATATTGTTTAGCGTATTAACCCATGTAATATGACCTATCAGCCCTGTGATTGGTTGTAAGTTTCAATTATTTCAATTGTGACGTCATGCCTAGGGCAAGTACATGACGTCACTGACTTACGCACTGGAGTCAAAATGGTGGCTTTTACATTTCAAGGTTGCATGAAAATTGTCGTTTTACATGCATAATTGCCACAAATCTTGATAATTTGGTAAAAAGGAGCTTACACTCGTTTTCAACTTTTCACAACTTTTTCACTTTTAGGAGTTTTAGCTCGCCAGAGGCTCGCTAAATTGAAAACTTCTAAGACTCGTTTCATAAATCTGATATGAAATAGAAACTCATGAAAGATCCTATATATCTTGATACCAAGTCATATGTATATGCACTATAACTAAAACACCAAATCTGGTACAAGATTTTAACTTTTGTAATATTATATCCTAACCTGGTGGAACCCAAATGCCTGGAAATGTGCGGAGGCTCTTTGATCGACGAGTCAGGAGAATTTTGTTGTCGGCCGATTCTAGTATCACAGCTGCCCCAACATCTATCCCTCTATTTAAAATGTCCTCTGGTAACGCTCCAATGTCATCCTTCCTGAGATTGTGTATGGGACAGAAAGACGGCCTCTGGAATAACAAAACCCAAACCTCAAAATGATACATGTATACGTACACCTGTTCAAAATAGATCTCACTAAGCTGTTCTATCAATGTTTTATACAGGTTCTGCATCTGGGCCCAGATGACAAAGCATTACTTAATTAAAGAGCTATTAACACAAAATTTCAAAATACATTTTTCGATAAATTTCTGAAAATTTTGGTTTTTCCTGTCAAGCATAATAATCTTAATTCCCATGTACATTTTATTTTGTTTTAGTTTTGAATTTGAATATTTTTGAAAACATACCAGATAAAATAAATGTGTTACATTTTCTTCAAGATAATCATGCTATGGCAAATGAGCCCTAACAGCTAACACTATCGGTACATATATTAGTAATTATTTTTGAAACATTTTCATTAAGATTTGTACACACATTTTACCTAAATCATTCCAACTTATATTAAATATATCATGGTTCCAAGAACGAGCACTACTTTTTGTTTAAGTGGTTTCTTCCATCTATCCCCGTATTTTGTACATGGGGTGTTATATCCGGAAAGGTTGTGGTAAATGTACAAACATAAATATATAATCCTGACCTTCAGTACCAACTGGTTTTTTTTTAAAGAACAGCGTGACTGTACATCTCTCAAAATGCTCTTGATTTTCATTTCACTAACATTGACACAGAGACAACCAATAAATTCATTAACAACTGCTCTAAGCTTAATTAATATATACTGGTCCAACATATGTTTTCCCCGACTCTGTGAATCATTTGTAATATAATGTAACCGTTTTTGTACATATGAAACAACATTTTACCACTCTTGTTGTCCGAGATGGAAGGATACAGATTGAGCACATGTGAACACTGGAAGGAAACTCACTCAGGAGTCGTCTATTGCTATCCATTTGCGCCACCCGCCACCCGACCAATCCCAAAATCAAGTGTGAGCTCAATTAATAGCACACTGGGGATGAAAAGTTTAAAACAGCTGTAGACATCTCAGCCAACAGGGGGTAGTCAATGCAGTCTGTCATCTGCTGATATGGCAGGTCTTACCCTGATTTTGATTGAGTTGTGTCTCGACTCCAGTTTGTCATCTGTAACTATTAGGTGATTATCAACCAATTCTACAAACACCTCTGACTGGTTAATGCTCTTGTCCTCCACAAAACAGTCCAAAACACTCTGAAACATACGGCCTATACACATAGAGTAGATTCACTGGAGTTCAACGTGAAATATGGTACAACAAAGGATATTTGTGAAAATAATTAGCATATAAAAATTACAGTACTTGGGTGCTGGATAGTGTTCTATGTTCTATTGTTCTTCTCCTGACCTACATGCTTTCTTTGTCTGCCTAGTAACCCTTGCTTCTCCTGACCTACATGATTTCTTTGTCTTCCTAGTAACCCTTGCTTCTCCTGACCTACATACTTTCTTTGTCTGCCTCGTAACCCTTGCTTCTCCTGACCTACATACTTTCTTTGTCTGCCTCGTAACCCTTGCTTCTCCTGACCTACATGTTTTCTTTGTCTGCCTAGAAACCCTTGCTTGTTTTTCAATTCAAAATATATAAGAATAAGTACAGAGTTGAAATGAAGTACAGTCTGTAGATGGTATAACAATGGAATAATTAAGACAAGCGCCTACATCAGTCTTCTTCTCTGGTAATATACTCAATTTATTGTTTAGCCTACATCAGCCTTCTTCTCTGGTAATATACTCAATTTATTGTTTAGCCTACCTCAGCCTTCTCCTCTGGTAATATACTCAATTTATTGTTTAGCCTACCTCAGCCTTCTCCTCTGGTAATATACTCACTACATGCTTTCTTTGTCTGCCTAGTAACCCTTTCTTCTCCTGACCTACATGATTTCTTTGTCTTCCTAGTAACCCTTGCTTCTCCTGACCTACCTGCTTTCTTTGTCTGCCTAGTAACCCTTTCTTCTCCTGACCTACATGATTTCTTTGTCTGCTTAGTAACCCTTGCTTTTCCTGACCTACATGCTTTCTTTGTCTGCCTAATAACCCGTGCTTCTCCTGACCTACATGATTTCTTTGTCTGCCTAGTAACCCTTGCTTCTACTGACCTACATGCTTTCTTTGTCTGCCTAATAACCCTTGCTTCTCCTGACCTACATGATTTTTTTGTCTGCCTAGTAACCCTTGCTTCTCCTGATCTACATGCTTTCTTTGTCTGCCTAGTAACCCTTGCTTCTCCTGCCCTACATGCTTTCTTTGTCTGCCTAGTAGCCCTTGCTTCTCCTGACCTACATGATTTTTTTGTCTGCCTAGTAACCCTTGCTTCTACTGACCTACATGCTTTCTTTGTCTGCCTACTAACCCTTGCTTCTCCTGACCTACATGATTTTTTTGTCTGCCTAGTAACCCTTGCTTCTCCTGACCTACCTGCTTTCTTTGTCTGCCTAGTAACCCTTGCTGATCCTGACCTACATATTTTCTTTGTCTGCCTAGTAACCCTTGCTTCTACTGACCTACATGCTTTCTTTGTCTGCCTAATAACCCGTGCTTCTCCTGACCTACATGATTTCTTTGTCTGCCTAGTAACCCTGGCTTCTCCTGACCTACATGCTTTCTTTGTCTGCTTAGTAACCCTTGCTTCTCTTGCCCTACATGATTTCTTTGTCTGCTTAGTACCCCTTGCTTTTCCTGACCTACATGCTTTCTTTGTCTGCTTAGTAACCCTTGCTTCTCCTGTCCTACATGCTTTCTTTGTCTGCCTAGTAACCCTTTCTTCTCCTGACCTACATGATTTCTTTGTCTGCCTAGTACCCCTTGCTTCTCCTGACCTACATGCTTTCTTTGTCTGCTTAGTAACCCTTGCTTCTCCTGTCCTACATGCTTTCTTTGTCTGCCTAGTAACCCTTGCTTGATTTTCAATTCAAAATATATAAGAATAAGTACAGAGTTGAAATGAAGTACAGTCTGTAGATGTTATAACAATGGAATAATTAAGACAAGCGCCTACATCAGTCTTCTTCTCTGGTAATATACTCAATTTATTGTTTAGCCTACATCAGCCTTCTCCTCTGGTAATATACTCAATTTATTGTTTAGCCTACCTCAGCCTTCTCCTCTGGTAATATACTCAATTTAGTGTCTTTATCGTTTGTTGTGTGGCAGATTTTAATTGTACATGTGATTAAGGTTGCCTTCTAGTTTCACACTAGGGGGAATTTCCCTTTAGCTCAATCAGGAAAGCGACAGGCTGGGAAGCTGCGGCCGGGTCATGGGTTTGATCCCTGGTGGAAGCGCACAACTGTTTTCTTTCCTTTTTTTATATATATATATATATATATATATTTCAACACTACTTTACACATTCATTTGTTTTGCTTAGACATTTTTCAATATTCTCAAAATTATTAGACCTATGAGATCACAATTATTTTCAGACACCTTCTAAGTCTATATAAATTGATATACACTGCTTTCTTTCCTGTTACAGTAGCATTATATTAATGATACAATAGCATCTTGGCATATTTCTGATTGGACATGATCCGAGAAATAGAAGTGGTCCTTTTTTTTTTTTTATTGCAAATGCTTCTTTTTTTTTGACACCCTATTTCTAGATCGGATGCTTTAATTTTTTCCCGTACATTCCCATCTAAACTTTGAAAATCTGCCTATATAACATTTCAAATCTGGAGAAAGCATTGAATAGATTTTTTGGTGTGTTGTCAACGCATGTAACAACAGGACAGGATCAAGATAGCCATGCTCTGTGTGCTGTAATAAAGCTGAGCCGTATACTGTACATAAAACAAGTCATTTCGGTACATATTTGACAACTTATTGTATATACACCTACAGTGTAGCTGAATTGACATCGATTTATGGACAACTCGTACACATTTTACACCGCTGTGTACATACGCTTCACTGGTCATTTGTCTGATGAAGGCGAGAGTGTACATATACCGTACATTGAAACGTCACACAGAAACACTTATTGGTTGTGTAACAAGAATCTTTTCGTAATGTACATATATATACATCTCTGATAAAGTCAAACCGTGGAAGGTTCTAAACAAAGAGATATATGTGTGTGTGTCAACCACTGATATAAACTTCAGTCAACCTATAACCTCATGTATAAACTTGACAGCCACCTGCCAGTGTAAAATGTCATAACCTTTTACTTGCATGTAAACTTGACAATCAAGTGCACCACCTGTATAACTTGACAATCACCTACCTGTGTAAACTTGGCAATCGTCGGTGTGTGATCGTGTCCCTTTCGTTTCAAGTAAACCAAAATTCTTCCACTAGCAGCCATTCTGTTCTGTTCTGTTACAAGATACCCAAGAGCTATTATGATGACAAAACATAAGAATATATCACAGCAAGGTAACAAACATATATAACAAGGGCTGTTGGAGAACAGCATATGTCGCCTATTGCTGATATATGTTGTAAGATAGAAAATATCAATAGAAACACATGTACAGTAAAACCTTGATATAATGCCCGTCATTTCATTTGCCACCTCGCTTAATGCGCTAACATATTTTCATATTCCTTACTTATGTTTTCTTAAGAATTCCTTTATATTTCCCCTCTTTTTATTGCCAAACCCCTTTATAATGCCAAAAATTCTTTGAACAAATAGTGGCAATATAACAAGGTTTTGCTGTACCTTAACATGTTGTACATTTCAAAAGAGATGACGAGATAGACAACGTGAAATAGCTAGGCAACCAATTCAACAGCCTACTGTTGGTGGTGATCCAACACTATGCAAAAATAATTGCCCAAAAACATTAACCTCAGGGCTCAAAGTTTTTTAACCAAGTCCAATTAACCTGTTTTTGGCCCCTTTAATATGAAAATATGGTTCAGCACATTAATGCTTACACTCCATATAAATACTTCAACCTTATCATAGACAACAGCCTATTGATGGTGTTTGTGATACATAAACTAAAATGTATTTTTAATCATTTGAAACATTTTAACAGATAGTTATCACCCAAATATAGTTATAGCGAAACAACATAGGGCGAACTGGATTTAGGGCGAAACGACCAGTAGTGCGAACGGGATTAAGGGCGAAACGACCCGGATCTTGCAAAAAAAGTGCATGCTAAAATTGTCTTTCGAACAGAACAAAATTAAACCACTGGTGGCGTCACGGGCAAGCCTATCACTACTCGAGATATACCCTGCAACAGCTAGACTAGATTGTTCAGTTTCTCATAACGCACTACACGTACGTACTCGATGACATCGTGTTAGGAATTCTTAGCGGTTTAGTAAGGTAGGAAGCAGAGTATCACACAAAAGGCAACAGCTGCGTAATATGAGTCTTAATAGATGTTGGTCGATAGTACATACTGGGATATGATCTTGCAGGTATGAACGAATATCTACTAGCAATGGGAACGTTCAAACATCAAAACAAAAACTGAGTTACTTCCCTTTTTTCATAAAAAAACAAACTATTAGAGTTACGCCCCTTCTGACGACTTGGCAGATGTTTCAATCAAGAATAAGTCAAGTTTTACCACGGAATTAGATTCTAAGATCAAATATTAAGTTTATGCTCATTTGAAATATTTCTATTATATATGAGATACGGCCCAATGATTATATCAGTCTTTTAAATTCGGATTTGACCTTTTTAAGGAGCGTTGGAAATAGGTGTTTGACCAGAGACGTGAATATATTACAATGTATACGTCTCTAGTTTGACATTGAGAACAGTAAAGCTGTCAAATTAAACCTCCCTCATGAGGAAGAAGACTCCCTCATTATGACAAAAACTTACAAATCTCCCCGCTCGAAACTCCCTCATTCAAGTCCAAGCTCACGCAAACTCAAAATCTACATCCTCCTGGCTCATGAAGCTAAACACCAAGAAGTGTTAACATATGGAGATTGGTAACAACCCCAAATCATCAAAATACTATTTGACGCAAGATGGACAAACAACTGAAATAGAGAAAGCAGCCACAGTAAAGGACCTTGGAGTTCACTTTGACAAACAACCTAAAATTCTCAACCCAAGTCAATGCAGCAGTGTCGAAAGCTAACAAAATGTTATAGGTATTCTGTTTAGAACTTTCATTTTTATGGACATAGCTCGTTTTACAACCCTGTAAAAGTCCCTTATCCGTCTACACATGGAATACGCTACGCAAGTGTGGTCACCGTCTCTAAACAAGGACAAAATAGCTATCGAAAATGTCCAACGAAGAGCCACTAAAAGGGTACTTAGAAATATAGAATGTGCCCTACCATGAACGCCTAAGAACATTAGGTCTTCTTCTTCTTCTTCTTCTTCTTCTTCTTCCAGGTAAGGAACCGAATTCAATAAATGAATGTATTTGTTCCGCGAGAACTTTGCGCAGTGTCGGACAACACAGAAAGTATTCTCTTGACTATTTACATTAAAACGTTCTCTATATGTATACAATTAAAATTATGTACAGGATGTTACTGTCTAGATTTTAGCAGAGCATGCCTTCAGGGCAGCTCTGAATCCTTCAACTGTGTTGGCTGATGTCGCTGATGTTGGTAGTTGGTTCCAGTCCCTGATGGTCCTTGGGAAGAATGATTGGCCGAAGGCGTCTGTTGTAGCCCTTTCTTGGTAGAAGCGGTTTTTACCTCTGGTCCGGCTATCATTTGGCGTCAGATATTGTTGCCGATCTATGTCTATTAGATCATGTTGTATTTTAAACAGCATGGATAGCCTATTTTGTTTTCTGCGGTCTTCAAGGCTTTCCCATTTTAATGATTTTACCATGTTTGTTACACAGCCAGGTGTGCGGTCTGTATAGTTGTTGTTTACAAGTCTGGCTGCTCTTTTCTGCACTTGTTCGATTGCCTTTATTTTGGTCTGTTTTGTTGGATCCCATACCGTGGATGCATATTCAACTGAGGGTCTTACTATTGTTGAATATGCTGCTGTTTTAACCGTTTTAGTGCAATCTTTTAGGTTTCGTCTTATGAAACCTAGTGTTTTGTTGCCTTTACCCACTATATTGTCAATATGTCTGTCCCAGGTTAGGTTATCGCTGATTGTTACTCCTAGGTATTTGCTAGCTTCAACGGTGTCTAGTGTGTGTCCATGCAGTTGGTAGTTGGTTGGTATTACAGGACGGTTCTTGGATTGTATTCGGATTACAATGCATTTTTTCGCATTGAAGCTCATTTACCATTTATTTTCCCAGTCCTCTAATGATGTTAGATCTTTCTGCAGTAGATCACTTTCGGCTTGGTTGCTTATGGTTCTATAGAGGAGGCTGTAGTCCGCAAATAGTTTGGTCTCTGATGATTTTGCTGAATCTGGCATGTTGTTTATGTAGGCTAGGAACAGCAGAGGTCCAAGAACTGTCCCTTGAGGTACACCAGAGAGTACTGGTACCTGTTCAGAGACAGCTCCTTTTAGGATAACGCTTTGCATTCTGTTTCTCTTGAGTACAGGCGCAAGTGGGCAGGTGTGGTTGAGCTGTACAAAATATTGAACGGGATCGACAAGTTAGACTACGGACTGATGTTTCGGCCTACACCACTCAATATCACTAGAGGTCACTATAAAACAATATTCAAGAAATCTTTCAGTCTAAACACTTGTAAGAATGTCTTTAGTAACCGAGTGATCAATGTCTGGAACAGTCTACCTGAGGAAACAGTGTCATCAAAAACACTTAATGAGTTCAAGTCCAACTTAAACAAACTGTGGAGGAATCACCCCAGGAAGTTCTGCCCTTCCTTTTATCATTAATGAATCACATGGGAATCTCTAACATTACATGAAAAGAAATAAGTAATAAACATATTACCATTAAAATGTTAGTTACTCCTTCTAGTATAATTAAGGGTATATGCATATAGATTTAAAACCATACATAAATTAATATAATAAACAAGTATTTACAATAAAATATAGTGTAAAAGCTTGATACAATGCAAATTGTTTTAATCCCTGCGCAACCGGAGTCCGTTGCTGGCAGGCTATTCTGCTGGGAACGTATCAAGTCAGAAGAGGATATTTAGACGTCTCCACAAGCTCAAGCTTCCCATCGACGTTCAACAACAAAGATAGCCTACTGCATGGTGTGTGCTCCGGTACTTGCCTCGTCTGTCTGTCAATTCACTTATACATTTGTACTTGTATTATAGGTGCATTGACAGACGAGGCTAGTACCTGTGTTCGGGACCTCATTGTGATGTTTATGTCTATACAATTCTCACTGTAAAACATATAAAGCACAAGTGATTTTAGCCTGAGTAGACAAGCAAGCGTACACAGAGGGAATTAAAGCAGAAATACAGACAGAAGCTTCGAGGACATTCTTCACTACTTTGCCAAGAAACAATCCAACTAATTCTGGTCAACTGACTTCCGAGTTATACTGATCAAGGCGGGAATGTAACGGGGAAAAACAACAGGAAAAGTTACGTTACTGGAAAGACCAAAGTATGATGGCATTAATTAAACAGTGACGCCGCAGGAATAAAGGAAATGGCTTGCTGCAAAAACAGCTTCATCGAAATGGTTGGGCGGACACCAAGACCTAAATGTTGGAAAATACCCAATCTAATTTAAATCAGTTCAAGACCGCTTCGTCACCTACGCTGAGAGAGGCGGAGGTAACAAAACGGTTTTGAGAGGTTGATTATAATACAATTTTGAAAATACTTAATTAATCCTTGTTGTGAAGCTTTCTATCCAACTTCAATAATTGTGGAGAAATATCGCTGCTGCTACCCGTGACCAGTTAAGCACGAACTTCGAGTTAGGCGTCATGGATATTTATGAATAACTTACTCAGTCGACAATCTTCTCCGAAAGGAACCGATTGGTTTTAGGAAGGAACCACATCATATGCTGACCATATCTTTACATTCTGACAAATTATAGAACAGAGCAAAAATTGCAGTAGTCCAAAATTACTCCTTTTAATATTTCTGTCCAATCAAAAAAATAAAGGATAGAGTCTTTTACTTCTGAGTATAAATATAGCGCCTCTGTATATAATGTCGACTTGCCAAAGCATTCGATAACATCAACAAACCAGCAATATGGAGGATCAACCCATCAACATCAGGACATACAAGGCCAGACTCGAGACCTAGAACCAACTGGCAAAACATCAATATTAACAAATAAAAGGTGATGAAATTAACACAAAATCGAACCGCACAAAACAAACGCATCTAGCAGATCACCCTGGATCAGAATCATGGGAAATGACACTACTGAATAATACCGATAAACGGACATGAATCAAGTGCACATGTCAGCAGAGGTCAAAAGACGGAGAAGGATTGAGTAGGTCGGCTGAGTAAACCCAAACGCCATCCAGAGAGCATCCTCGACATCCAGGGGGTTCGCTCACTTTTGCTCTCTGCGACCCTGGAATATGTCAAAGCAAACTTGAAGGCACGAAGATAGCTGTTTAATTGGTCTCAGGTAAAAAAAAAAAAAAAAAAAAAAAAAAACTGACCAAATGCTAGGGTGACACCTGTCCGTTGAAGATTACAAAGGAGCGACACTCGACTTCAAAGCCTGTCAATTTTTACCGTTACGTGACCGCGAGCTTCTTTTGATGTACATCACAGGATCGAACTAGTCTTCTTGTCTCAACAACAAGGTGGTATACACCGAGCCTTCAATTTTGCTATTACCTATTCCAGGGGTGTAGAGAGTCAAAGTGAGCGTAATCACTGGGATCTCGTTGCCCAACATTGTACCATCTTCGTGGGCTCTATGTCAGTTCGATCTTTTCTTTTCTGTTTGATCAGTTTGCATGTCCGCCATCTTAATCAATCTTTTTATCAACCTCAAAAGTTAACATGCACAACTCATGACCAAGGGGAACTTACATATCAAATTTGAGAAAAATTCCTCCAGCAAATTCTGAGAAATAGCGATAACAAACTTAAACTGTAACAAGTTGGCCGGCCGATATGATTTGATATGCATAACTAAGAACAAAAGAAACCCTTATATAAAATTTGAGAAAGTTCCCTCCAATACTTTTTGAGCAAAAGGGCTCAAACACTTTTACGCCCAAATTCAACATGACCACCTGCCAGCCATCTTGGTTTTCCAATCATCTCCAAAATTCGAAATGTGGAAATAGAAACCATTGGGAACCATCATGTGAAATTTGAGAAAGATTTTTGAACAACAGCACTAACAAACTCAACCATTTTGGTTTTGTGATCAGTCCCAACAAACGATATGCATAACAAGGGATCATGGGGAACCTTCAGGTGAAATTTGAGAAAGATCCCTCCAGTACTTTCTGAGGAACAATGCTTACAAACTTTAACTCTTAAATTCAAGATGGCTGCCTGTCGGCCATCTTAGTTTTGTGATCAGTCCAAAAAAACGATATGCATAACAAGGGACAGTGGGGAACCTACATGTATATGTGAAATTTGAGAAATATCCCTCCAATACGTTATGAGAAAAAGCGCTAACAAACTTTCATTCCCAAATTCAAGATGGCTGGCTGATGGCTGGCTGATGGCCATCTTGGTTTTCACTTCTGTCCCAAAATTTAATATGTGTTACAAGGGACCATGGGGAACTTTCATGTAAAATTTGAGAAAGACCCCTCCAGAACTTTTTGAACAACAGCACTAACAAACCTTTGCTATTTTGGTTTTGTGATCAGTCCAAACAAACAATATGCATAATAAAGGATCATGGGGAACCTTCAGGTGAAATTTGAGAAAGAATGACGAACGGACGATGTTTTCTATAGCATGTATTACATCCAATGTTCTGCATAAATATATGGTTAAACCAAGAGGCCCAGAGGGCCTGTACCGCTCACCTGGAAATGTTAGTAAAATTGAAGTTAAAATAGCCAGATGTTTCTGGAAGTGTACATGTATTACATAGTTAGTCATTTCTGCTACGATCCTTGTATGACACGCTACCATCTCCTGTTAACCTGCATCAGTGGGGATTGACAGAGGATCCTTGCTGCAAGCTATGCGGAGGAAGAGGAACAATGGCTCATATCTTGTCTGGTTGCAAAGAAGCACTACGACAGGGTAGATACCGATGGAGGCACGACAATGTCTTGCAGGTCATAGCAGATATCTTTGAAGTGGAGAGAAGGAAGAAAAGAACTGGTGTAAGAACAAACCAAGCTGGTATCAAGTTTGTGAAACCAGGGGAGAAAGCCACAGTGAAGCCTCGAAGCACCTCATCCATCTTGGAACGGGCGCCAACATGGGAGATGAAGGTTGACCTTGACAGGAAGCTTGTGTTTCCAGGAATAGTGGAAACAACACTGAAGCCTGACGTGGTAATATGGACAGAGCAATCCAGACCCCTCATCACCATAGAGCTCACCGTACCATGGGAGGAAGGCTGCAAGGAAGCTCACGAGAGGAAGAAAGCCAAGTATGATGAGCTGATGGAAAAGTGCAGGAGCAGAGGATGGACAGTATGGCTCTTTCCAGTGGAGGTTGGCTGTAGAGGTTTCCCCGCACAGTCAGTGTGGAGGACACTACAGTCGATAGGACTCAATGGGAGGGCAAGAGCTACCGCCATCAGGCGATTGGGAGAAGCTGCAGAGAGAGCATCGTGCTGGCTATGGCACAAACGAGATGAGCCGGTGTGGAAGCCGACATAGACGAGTAGTGGTTTGGCCACCACTACTGACCCACCAGCCGGAGGATGTAGTGATTAAGGGTCGAAACATTTGAGGAGGGCTGGCCATCACCTGATGACGTCAAATGAGGATTCACGACTAGAATGACAGCAGTGACGGACTACAAGTCAAGGATGTCACAAGATACAGAATTACCATCATCTGTAAGCAATCATCGTCAGGGGTTATATTTATATGCAATTGGACAAAATCCTGTCATTCCTACAGGAAAAGGAAGATTTTGGAGAACTAGCATGTTTCCCCTATTGGGCCCCATCCCTCTGCCCCTAGGAGGGTTAGACCCAACATTGATACAAAATTAGATCCCCTTCACCCAAGGATGCTTTAGACCAAATATGGACACAATCCTGTCATTCTCCTTCAGGAGAAGAAGAACTCTGAAGCTATTTTCCCTACTTGGCCCCGTCTCTCTGCCCCCAGGGGGTTCAAACCTACAATTTATACAAAATTGATTTCCCTTCCCCATAGGATGCTACTGTTCAATGGTCAAAATACCTTCATCCCAATGGAAGAAAAAGGATATTAAAGCTACAATTGTATTCCTCTATATCCCTTATTGGGCCCTGCCTATCTGCCCCAAGGGGGGTCTAACCCACCATTTATACAAAATTGGTTCCCCTTCACCCAAGGGTGCTTCATCCCAAATTTGGACAAAATCCTGTCATTCCTACAGAAGAAGGATTTTGAAGAATTTGCTATGTTTCCCCTATTGGGCCCCGCCTCTCTGCCCCCAAGGGGGTCACATCCACCATTTATACAAAATTGAGTCCCCTTGGCCTAGGCCTAAGGATGCTCCAGACTAAACTAGGATAAAATCCCTAAATCCCTACGGTAGAAGGATTCTAAAGGTTTTACCTCTATTTCCCCTATTCTCCCCCGCCCCTCTGCCCCCAGGGGAGCCACACACACTGTTTATACAATCCAATTGGCCTAAGGATGCTCCAGACCAAATTTAGTCAAAATCTACTTGGCTGTTCAGGACTAGTAGCGTTTTAAAGGAAAAGTTGACGGACAGACGGACGACGAACCAGGTCAGCTTAACAAGAGGCCCAATGGCCTTAGCGGTCACCTGAGTTATATTATAGGTACTAGTAGCTCAACTTCATTGTTGAGATGTACAAAATGTAGAAAACAACATGTAAACAAAGTGAAATACAATACTTGTCAACAAAGGATAAGAACTTAAAAAACTATTCAAATACATTATTTTGCTATTGTAAATTATACCCTCTCCTCAAGGGAGAGCAGATGACCTGGGGGATAATGAAATTTACAACTAAGGCGATTAAGGTAACCGAGTCTGATGAATATTTTTTTTTTAACTTTTAATCATAATCCCCATTTGAGCCCTACCCCTCGAGCCCCTGGGGATGGGGCAGGATCTTATTTTCTCATACATGTTTCATCTATTCGCCATCTGGCATCATAATCATTCCAACCAAGTTCAAATAATTCCCTGCTGAAAAAACACAAAATATACCCAAAAGTATTATTTCCCTATATATACTCTAGTAATTTTTACCCCCTCCCCAAGGGAGAACGAATGGTCCGGGGTTACTGAAATTTACAATTTATATAAAGCACTGGATAATCTTTCCATCCATGCAGAGAAATTGACTGTAGTACCTCTTAGTCTAGAGAAGAAGATTTTTGAAATATTGGCTAATTTTCCCTTTGGGGCCTCACCCACGCCCCTGGGCTTGGGGTAGGTATCACAACTTTACAATTGTGTAGCCTCATCTACCAAGTCGAAAATGTAAAAAGTTTACGCACGACGACAGACAGAAAGCGATCAGAATAGGTCACTTGAGCAAAGCTCAGGTGACCTAAAAAAACACAAACACGATGAGATAGGATTTATGTATTTATTACATTGCATAGAAGTGATTTTTTAAGACTGGTTAATAGTTCACAAAACACAAGAACTATTTTTGCGTACATTGTGTATTTTACAGCCTTCACAAATCAAAATGTACAGGTAAATTAAACTTTTGAATATTAAATAACATTTCTCTGAATGGACTATGTCTGTAATTCACCCATACTTTTTTCACAGTATCTTCCTTTTTTCACAGTGTTTTTAATTGAGGAATACATGATATGAACCAGTTACAATAGAACTTTAAGTTCACTATTGTAGTATATAACAATTAAAAGTATTACACTGATTAGCTAAACTTTCAATAGCCAATGATATATAAAGGCAAGCAAGAAATTAAAAGATTCTTTGGAAGATATGATATGTTTTCTTTCTATTTTGTTAATGACTATGACATCTTTCATTAATATGAGGATGTATGATGTTCAATTTGAATCACTGTTTTACAGAACCAGAGACGTCCATGTATATATTATGGTGCGTAATATATACGTCTCTGACAGAACCAACCTAAAATTATTTTCTGCGTCACGCTGTCAGACTAGAGTGGTCTCCCTTAGAATTGTTGAATTTAAAGAAGGCTACTTTTAAATAACAGTGTATCTGTTTGAAAGAGTACAGGTGGTATAGTATGCCAACGTAATAGGCTGAGATATACATGGATTTAAAATATATAGCACTGAACCCAATATACATGTATATTAATACCTATGTGCGTCCTTCACCCATGTACTAGATTTTCTAACATTACCTAAAATAGGTATATAAGAATCATCCTTATTATTTATATGTGCAAGTACTGAAAACTAGTGACAGTCTGACTTTTAAGTTTCGACCAGACATGACAGGATTCCTTTATTTCCTTATGTCAATCTTAGTTGCAATTTGTGCCTGTCACTTTCTTTTCAAGTGTAAGCAATTGAATTGTAAAAGATGTGCATTGATTAGTTTGCCTAACAAGTGTCAGCTGTAGGAAATTCCTTTGAGCTCAGCGCTAGCGGACTCCGGGTTGCAAGTTTGAACCCCAGTGACGTCATTATCTTTATCACTTTTCCTCGTCCTACTACAGAATTAGTGGAACTGGATACAACATGAAAGCACCCAGAGTCTTGATTATCATTCATGAACAAATCTTTTTCTTTGTTATTTATGACTAAAAATATGCTTTTCAGTTTAAAATAGTACAATGCAGCATTATGCTTTAAAATCAGTTGGTGAAATATGTGGACATCAAAAATGATAAAGAAACAATGAAAATGCACTCATATATATATGAGCAGGCACTTGCACACATGAGCAGGGCCAGTGCCTGTTGTTCTGGTCATCTATCACAACATCTATACTATAGTTAAACAGGTTTAATACAAACGTACCAATGACTCATGCTTATACTAAAGTCTTCATTGGGGCCCCAATTATGGAACTCGTGAACATCCGACTTTATAAAGAATTGTCTTTACTGAGCTGATTTCTTATATTCATAATTACAGCAGGTCACCTGGGGTTTGTTATAAACATATTTTACAGAAATCTCAATATCATTCCATAAATGTGATCAATATATACAATTAAATTCTATGATGATCTTCTTGTTATTCAACAATACGTAGTCAACTCAAAATATCAATCTATTCTACCTGGTATATGAATTATAACTTCATTGAAGAAAATCCTTAAAAAATATTCAATATTTACATCCAACATACAGCGCCTTATATATAGTCTTGTTTTATGTTTACCACAATGTATTTCAAACTTTATTGATGTGGATATGGAGGCAGAAACCTATTAAATCCTACTAAATGATTGGTTGGAAATGCACCCAAAGGTCTAATTTTAACACATTAAAATGAATATTGTAATACAATAACATGTCACTATAATCACAGCATTTATTTCATATAGAACAATGACAACCACCTGAACTGATGACCTCTTAGGTGATTGGAAACCAATGACACTATCACCAGTCTGTTCTGTTTATAAATATTTATTTATTTTTTAAATTTCAGATGTTTAAAAATTTTACAATAGATGAAAATAAATAAATAAAAATATCTCAAACAACTGGCACGTACCGCCAGTTTTAAGTGGAATTTTGTGACAAGAGTCAGAGGAATGTTTGAGGGGAATTTATAATGATGGCACTTTGAGTTACTATAACATCTATACAAACAACTGATTAAATAAACATTTAAATCCTATAAGTAAATTATTATAATAGATATTGCAGGTCAGTAGATCAGCACTTTTATTATCCTATAATAAGCCCGTTCCCTGAATTGTATCAGAAAGCATGTGCTGGCCCCCAGGGCTTATCAACTTATTGCAGAATAAATACAGCAGTCTGGTTCTATTTGAAACTTGTCTGGATCTCTTAAATACGGCAAATTTAAAACTGAAATGTTAGTTCATGATAGTACACATATACGTGTATAATAAGATGAGACTTAACAGGAATAAAGCCAAATAGTAAAGCTCACAAAAAGTACATGTACACTGCACACAGGTAGCTATATAGGTAAAACATCAATATCACTAACAAGCTTTCTAAAGTTAAACTTTTTCAGTAAAAATTAAATCAAGTGGCAATATGTCATGACCGTAGTTCATAAATCTAGAAAATTTGTGTAAAAAAACAAAGTCCCAGTTTGCCTCTATTGAGCGTGGATTGAGAGACTGGTCCTGTCTGGCACTCTGAGAATCAAGTTAGATATTTAAACCCCACTGTACTCATGCTCACAATAGTCAGGGCCATTGACAGGCTCCGCTTGGAATCCTCGCCTGCAAAGGAAAAAGAGCGATGAATGTCAACAGTATGAACACCTTTTTCTTCTTGAAAATTGTCAATTTACATGTACGGTAAGTTCAGTAAAAGCAGTAACGAACAACATTAAACTTCAGTCTCCCTACGACAACATAATAAGACATCTTGTGTATGTCACCCCTCAATAAGTTTGGTTGGCAATAATATTGCCTTACAACATGTGCACGTCTTTGTGTTGACTGTATTGATGACTGTTTGGGTCCCCTTTATCCAATAAGACAATATATATAGCTTAACTGATTAGGGGATAGTACGTTGTTTCGAGTGGCTATACTGGCGATTAGAACATGAAATTTGGGTTTGAACTCGCCAGTATAGACACTAAAAACAACGTACTATCCCCATTCTAACACACCTTAACAAATGTACTACGCTAATATGTTTAGAAACATTGTATTTCCTTGTACAAATGTACGTAGTAAAATACATTGTGACCTGAACTGGCGACGTGTCATTCTGCAGCGGGCTGACCAATCGGAAAGAAGCTTTCAAAAGTCGGTCATTTGGCTCCGCCCATACTGGCGAGCGCTCGATCTGTATGTTGACGTGGCGGAATATTTGGATTGTTGGTGAACGTCCTGTTAGTGGCTGTTACCAAAGTTTATTCGACACATTTCGATTAATATTGACCAAGTTCTTACATTTCCATGTCAGTATGCATACCAGTCTGTGCTTATCGTATCTTGATTATTTGTATAGATTTGTGAAGAGTTTTGTGTACATGTGAAATGTTTGATTTGATTTCGGATCTAAATAGATGCCTTCACATGGATGGAACGAACGTCTCAGTAATAAATGAAGGTAAGAACAAGGAATGTGTACTTTTTACTTTTTAATTCATTCAACAAATACATTTCATCGGTCGTTTCTGTTCCGTTACCTACTAGCCTTATCAGCGGGATTTCGCTAAGAGGCGAGCTTGACGCCATATTGTTTTGGTTAGAAATGGGGCGTGGCTTACAAATGTAAGTGCTATGGGAGGAGCTTAACACGATTGATCATGATTCTATCGCAGATTAGAACATGGTCCGTATCCAATCAAAACACGCGTTGCAAACGAATCGTGTTAGAATGAATGTTAGATACTAGTTTGGATCCCCTGTATCCTCTATATACAGGTATACTTCCTTAATTACCTGATGAGACGACACCTGTGTTCAGCCATGCGTGGAGCAGCCTTTGTACCATCTCGGACATCCTTGTTACTCCACAGCCTTTCCCCGACAGCAGCAGCTCTAGGCCTTCACATTAGAAAATAAGGTAAATTTCAATACATCCCCAGGCTTACAAATCAAATGAAACAACTGTCACATCATAATATTACTTCATTATACAAATATACACATTTATTATATTTTCACCAATGAAATATCAGGATTAATCCATTTAGTAAAAACATTTATCAGATACTTGTCCGTGGTATGGAATGTTTTGCATGTGTGATACTGTCAGCTGTGCGGATATAGGCCACTTGCATGCAATGGCGGAATATACTGATATTTTCACTTGTGCTTCGTGCTCGTGAAAAATATCAATATTCCATCATACTCGTGAAATATGTATGGTTTCAACAGGAAACCATTAAATATCATCTATATACATAATCACATAAAAAAATTACCCACAAGTATACACATCACACAAATATTACTTCAGTATACACATACATGTATGAAGGTTTACATATGGCATGAAATTTTGCATGAAATTTTACAACTATAAGCCGAGACATCAGATATCATACACTTCCCACTTTGCATGTGTACCTAAATGTCCTTTAGGGATGCACAACATGTACTCACCAGGTACGGGAGATGACATTGGTACTGTCCACGTATTCACCCCACATACACGCCTCCCCTCCGATCACCAGGTCTAGTTGTTTCTGGGTACCTATCAAATAACACCATCATTATATTTACTGTCTTTAAAGTATTCTTGAATAAAAAGATATCATAAAAATTACAATGAAAAAAACAAAATTTACTTAATTTAAGTTATTATTTTAACTTTAATTGGCTCATGTAATATCTATCATTAATCTTAGCACATTTATTTCAACAGTAAAATCAATTTGTATACATTCTCTTCAATTATACAATGTACATTACAGAGTCTTTGCTAATAGCAAGAATTAATTATTGAAATCATTTGTGATTAGTTTTATGACAGCAGCAGATTAAGTGTTTTCTGATTATGCTCGGCTAAAAGCTGTAAGAACTATAAAATACAAAATTGTTGAATCATATATAACAAAGGAGGTGAAATAAATGTGTTTGAGCTCAAAACACATATATAAATCACTTTAAAATACCTACATTTTTATGAGTATTTTCACAATAAGTGATCATGATTCTATTGTTTAATTGTTGAGCATTTGAATTTGTTCGTAAAATATTGGTATCAACAATTGGCTCTCCTTCGAATCTAAGTCCAAGTACATGCAAATCATCTCTAGTGAACTTAGTGGTGTACTGTACCTACGATCTTATATTTAAGTCAGTAATTAGTTTGGGTGATATACAGTGCCAAAACATTTTTAGTCATTCATTTGTTCAAGGGACATACAGTACTTAAAACTTTAGTCAGTAGACAGTGCGAGTGATGTACAGAGCCTAACACTTTAGTCAATAGACAGTGTGAGTGAAGTATGGGGCCCAAGACTTTAGTCAGTAGACAGCGTGAGTGATGTACAGAGCCTAACACTTAAGTCAGTAGACAGTGTGAATGATGTATGGGGCCATAGACTTTAGTCAGTAGACAGTGTGAGTGAAGTACAGAGCCATAAACTTTAGTCAGTAGACAGTGTGAGTGATGTATGGGGCCTAAGACTTTAGTCAGCAGACAACGTGAGTGATGTACAGAGCCTAACACTTTAGTCAGTAGACAGTGTGAGTGATGTACAGAGCCTTACACTTTATTCAGTAGACAGTGTGAGTGATGTACAGTGCTTAAAACTTTAGTCAGTAGACAGTGTGAGTGATGTACAGAGCCTAACACTTTATTCAGTAGGCAGTGTGAGTGGTATGTTCTGAAACTAAGACTTAGTTAGCAGACAACGTGAGTTATGTTCTGAGACTAAGACTTCAGTCAGTAGACAGCATGAGTGAAATATGTACTCTTAGACTTTAGTCAGTAGATAGTGTGAGAGATGTACAGAGCCTAAGACTTTAACCAGTAGACAGTGTGAGTGACATAAGGAGCCTAAGACTTTAGTCAGCAGTCAGGGTGAGTGATGTACAGAGCCTATGACTTAGTCAATAGACAGAGTGAGTGATGTATTGAGCCTAAGACTTAGTCAATAGACAGAGTGAGTGATGTATGGGGCCTATGACTTTAGTCAGTAGACAGTGTGAGTGATTTATGGGGCCTAAGACTTTAGTCAGTAGACAATGTGAGTGATGTATGGGGCCTAAGACTTGAGTCAGTAGACAGCGCGAGTGATGTATGGGGCCTAAGACTTTAGTCAGTAGACAGTGTGAGTGATGTATGGGGCTTTAGACTTTAGTCAGTAGAAAGCATGAGTGATGTATGGGGCCTAAGACTTTAGTCAGTAGACAGCGTGAGTGATGTATGGGGCCTAAGACTTTAGTCAGTAGACAGTGTGAGTGATGTATGGGGCTTTAGACTTTAGTCAGTAGAAAGCATGAGTGATGTATGGGGCCTAAGACTTTAGTCAGTAGACGGTGTGAGTGATGTATGGGGCCAAAGACTTTAGTCAGTAGACGGTGTGAGTGATGTATGGGGCCTAAGACTTTAGTCAGTAGACAGTGTGAGTGATGTACAGAGCCTTAGACTTTAGTCAGTAGACAGTGTGGGTGATGTATTGGGCCTAAGACTTTAGTCAGTAGACAGGTTGAGTGATTTATGGGGCCTAAGACTTTAGTCAGTAGACAGCGTGAGTGATGTATGGGGCCTAAGGCTTTAGTCAGTAGACAGTGTGAGTGATGTATTGGGCCTAAGACTTTAGTCAGTAGACAGGGTGAGTGATTTATGGGGCCTAAGACTTTAGTCAGTAGACAGTGTGAGTGATGTACAGAGCCATATACTTTAGTCAGTAGACAGTGTGAGTGATGTACAGAGCCTTAGACTTTAGTCAGTAGACAGTGTGAGTGATGTATTGGGCCTAAGACTTTAGTCAGTAGACAGGGTGAGTGATTTATGGGGCCTAAGACTTTAGTCAGTAGACAGTGTGAGTGATGTACAGAGCCATATACTTTAGTCAGTAGACAGTGTGAGTGATGTACAGAGCCTTAGACTTTAGTCAGTAGACAGTGTGAGTGATGTATTGGGCCTAAGACTTTAGTCAGTAGACAGGGTGAGTGATTTATGGGGCCTAAGACTTTAGTCAGTAGACAGTGTGAGTGATGTACAGAGCCATATACTTTAGTCAGTAGACAGTGTGAGTGATGTACAGAGCCTTAGACTTTAGTCAGTAGACAGTGTGAGTGATGTACAGAGCCTTAGACTTTAGTCAGTAGACAGTGTGAGTGATGTACAGAGCCTTAGACTTTAGTCAGTAGACAGTGTGAGTGATGTATTGGGCCTAAGACTTTAGTCAGTAGACAGGGTGAGTGATTTATGGGGCCTAAGACTTTAGTCAGTAGACAGTGTGAGTGATGTACAGAGCCATAGACTTTAGTCAGTAGACAGTGTGAGTGATGTATGGGGCCTAAGACTTTAGTCAGTAGACAGTGTGAGTGATGTATTGGGCCTAAGACTTTAGTCAGACGACAGCGTGATTGATGTATGGGGCCTAAGACTTTAGTCAGTAGACAGTGTGAGTGATGTATGGGGCCATAGACTTTAGTCAGTAGACAGCGTGAGTGATGTATGGGGCCTAAGACTTTAGTCAGTAGACAGCATGAGTGATGTATGGGGCCTAAGACTGTAGTCAGTAGACAGTGTGAGTGATGTATGGGGCCTAAGACTTTAGTCAGACAGCGTGAGTGATGTATGGGGCCTAAGACTGTAGTCAGTAGACAGTGTGAGTGATGTATGGAGCCTAAGACTTTAGTCAGTAGATGTGTGAGTAATGTACAGAGCCATAGACTTTAGTCAGTAGACAGTGTGAGTGATGTACAGAGCCATAGACTTTAGTCAGTAGACAGCGTGAGTGATGTACAAAGCCTTAGACTTTAACCAGTAGACAGTGTGAGTGATGTATGGGGCCATAGACTTTAGTCAGTAGACAGCGTGAGTGATGTATGGGGCCTAAGACTTTAGTCAGTAGACGGTGCGAGTGATGTATGGGGCCTAAGACTTGAGTCAGTAGACGGTGTGAGTGATGTATGGGGCTTAAGACTTTAGTCAGTAGACAGCGTGAGTGATGTACAGAGCCATACACTTTAGTCATTAGACAGCGTGAGTGATATATGGGGCCCAAGACTTTAGTCAGTAGACAGCGTGATTGATGTATGGGGCCATAGACTTTAGTCAGTAGACAGTGTGAGTGCTGTAGGGGGCCTAAGACTTTAGTCAGTAGACAGCGTGAGTGATGTATGGGGCCTAAGACTTTAGTCAGTAGACAGTGTGAGTGATGTACAGAGCCTACGACTTCAGTCAATCAAGTGGTTTACTGTACTTAAGACTTAATTCTACATTTCTGTATTTAGTGTGAGTGGCGTACTGTAAAATGAAACCTTTGTGAGTAACTACTGTTGGTGATGTATAGTGGTAAAGACATTAGTCAGAAGTAAGTGTAGGTGGTTGAATTTAGACGATTCAAGTTTTAAGGCAACCATTTGTCCATACCAACTACTAACTCTATACATGCTTTATTTTCTGTGGGTCAAAATTTAATGGTTCTCTTCCTAGAACAAATGCAGGATTCGAATTTCATACAACACTAATAATAGTCGACGGTTTTAATTAGCTCACTATGACAAGTTCAAAACTTAAATTTTATAGTTTTTCAGGCCATGAATATAGCAAAAACAAAATGGTTTCTAGGATGTATACAAACAGATACAGTGTGAACTATGTGAGCAGATATACCCCCAACACCCAAATACTTGTATGCTGTACTGCCACCTGTATAGTAAATGTTCTCAAATCTATCCACCAACTTTACAAACTTGATATCAGTAAGATTACAGGTCAGTAAAAACCTCTTCAGAGGCCATGACCTCAAAAAGTCAAACAATGTAATAGTTCAAATCTGTCTTGTATTGTATGTGAGATTGAGGTTGAGGGTTAAGACACTAAAATTGTAATGTTGACCGCTGTGCTTACCCAATTAATTCTTAAAATATTATTCGTAAAGACCACAATACCCGATACCTGCGGTGTGAACATTGATACAACCTGGCAACTCATTATTTTGATATCTTATCTACAAAATTCAGGTGGATTGATACGTAAGATAACTCATAATTCATCCATTTAAGATGTTACATAACAAATCTGTCAGACCAGCAGGTGTCAGTTTGGTCAGGTTGTCATTCTACACAGGTAAAAGACTATAGTAATATGTCAATCAGATCAACAGGTGTCAGATTGGTCAGTTTGTCACACTACAGGGGTAATTTTTAAAACCATATAAAGACACCCAATTAAAATGGCGGGTAATTTTGGGCTGTAATTACCAAGGAATCCCCAAGGATCACAACTATAGTAGTTATTCCAGTCCGACCCATACGAGATGTAGTTAAGGTACCAGCATGCTGACAGAATGGTCTTGTAGCCTTTGAGTGTGACCTTATTAAGCTCCTCCACATAGCCCGACTTCCAGACCTCCACCACAGTGTCGGGGCGTACCTACAGCAAATACACCTCATGCTTACTGATCTACTACATATCAATAACCTAGTAAACCCAGCCAACAGGTGTTTTGGCAAAACAACGAAGGGATGCATCAGAAAATTTCAGGCATGTAATTTTGATTTGTTTCTGTGTATCAGGTTTTGAGTGTTCTGTCTAAATTTTCAATCTAAAAATGTGTTTGCTTCATAATCTGCTAATTAATCATTATTTTTGAACCCCCGTAACACTATCTATAACTGCACACTGAGCTTTTAAGATTGATTACAGCATGTCAAATGTCTGTAGATATCCTTGTGGAATGTTCAAGTTGCAGACTGCAGTAGCCTACCAGGTTCATTATTACCAAGAGTAAGGAGGCAATCTTGGTCTTACCATGTCAATTATCTCCAGTTCACCACTGATATCCTCACAGCTCTCTAGAGCAAGGTTAACAATTCTAAAGTAGATGGTATTGTTTCTGTTTAATAAAAGACCCTCCTTTTGAAGTTGTAATAACTGCCAGCTATCTTTAGTACAAAAACAATACGTAATGTTTGCACAGCTAAAATTACATCACCTTGGCCATGTTGTAAGTTTCTTTTTTCTAGAATTATTTTACACAAAAACCTCACTTTTGTCCCTTTTCAAATTCAATACCAATGATGCAACAGTGATTTTTTTAACATTACCTCTGTTAATTTTATCATAATTGAAGCTTACTTGTTCAAAGTACACAAGTACTTTTAAATATTTCAAATAAAATGTACATTGTCAAAAACATGATAAATAATTGACACCTACAACTTGGACAAGGTGTCAGTAATCATTAAAATATAAACCAAAAATAGGGTAAACAAAGCTCTTTGTGATACACCAAGCAATAACAGAGCAGTCAAACTTAGATATTGGAACCTTGAAAAAATACAACTGTTCCCTTTCTATAATTTAAACTAACATAGAAAACAAATTAATTACGCTGCAGTTTACTGTTACTTTATGGTAATATTTACCTTGAAAAACATTGATCGAACAGTCATTGCAACAACTACCAAATAGATTATCCAAAACACTTACACACCAGATGTTTTTGTCTAGGTCCTTTGACACTGATATACCAAAGTTTGACTGTATGATATATATATGTAAGGTTTTCATGCATCAGTAACAAGCCCACATAGCTAGTACCATTGACCATGTCCCAGGGGTCACAGGCGTAGTAACGCTTCCAGTCACTGCCGTATGCGATCAAGTTAAGGTACCAGCAGGATGATAAGAGGGCGTGATAGCCCATTTTCGTGACCTTGGCTAGCTCAGCCTGGTAGCCACCTTTCCATACCTCAACAATGGTGTCTGCTCTCACCTGGTAAAACATGGCCTGACCTTCACCTGCCCTTAACACTCTACATCTGTTTTTATCATTACACACTTTTCAACAAACCTGGCATGCAATAATATTTTTTTTGTCAGATTCAATAAATCCTGTTACTGCAACAGAGTTTTTCATTTCAATTCCCAAGAAAGATTTCTTAATGGAAATTGTGCAAGCCAGAACATTTCTTCATATTTAAGAACAATTTTTGTTTAGTGTGAATCTGTATGAAATTTGCTTATAAATTAATATTCAGTATGACATTATTTCCATGAGTGATGCTCAATATTCAGTATAAATTTTGTCTTCATGGAAACTGCTCGGAAGTTGTTTGTTATGATTCTGAACATACCGAGTATGATTTAATTCATTCACCCCTACATATTTAAACTGGACTTGCCCAGTCTCCGATTTGGTAAGGTTCAAATGTGACTTTAGGGGTGAATGGATTAATACTTACTGTGGCACCATTGTCTATGACTTCCTGCCAGATCAGGTAGCCCTTCTTCAGAGAATTGATAATGTTCAGAAGGCTGCAAAAGAAAAACTGAATTCACTTAAATATATTCCTATGACTGAATATTTCTTTTGTTCATATCGAAAGAATATTTCAAATGTTGACTGCTCACATATCCCAAGATCAGAGATGCAGGGTTTATATTTAAATGTATTCTGTGGAATAAGACATTCCATGAGTATACAACTTCTGTTTTCTAGTGTTCTGTCATAGAATACTGGATTTCTAAAGAATTTTATTCCGTACTAAATATTGTCTACTTGTAAATAATAAAGTCTTTCATTTCTTCAAAAAATTATATTGATATAAAAATCGGTGGACAAAATGGAGTTCAGGACACAGATGAGTTTATTTAGTCATTTTATAAATTTAAGTGTTGATTTTTGGAACACTAGATTCTGTACATATCAAAATACATGCATCTGATGAAATATTATACCAGTTGACTTTAGGAAAACGTCTAGCCCAGTCAACTTCACATGGGGCATACATTCACCAAAACCACACAATGACTCTTACTTCTGCATGTAGTATTGCTCCAGTTCTGCATAGTTAGTACCATATGACTTTTTCTTCATGAAGNGTTTTTTGGGCATCATATGAATATGTTATAGCCATTGCCCAGAGTATGCTACTGGCACTCTGGACCATGTATGGTTTTTTGGGCATCATATGAATATGTTATAGCCATTGCCCCGAGTATGCTACTGGAACTCTGGACCATGTATGGTTTTTTGGGCATCATATGAATATGTTATAGCCATTGCCCCGAGTATGCTACTGGGACTCAGGACCATGTATATATTTTGCACAGTATCATTTGTGATGGTTCTTGTTCAGCGTCATAGTTGATGTTGAAATGGATGTAAGATATCTACCGAGACATGCTTACATTTCAATACATTGATATACTCTAGATCTGGTCACAGCCTGATGTCAGCTGATCTTTACAGCTTACGGAAATCTTAATTTTGATTTTGATCTGTGTGAAGAAAACAATAGGCAACTGTTGTCTTCGTGTGGGTCAAGGTAATTTAAACATTAGTCTAAAAACAGACTAACACCTACCAACAGGAGAAGGACACCTCATAATTATAAAAAATATTGTTTCAGAATTATTTTGGGTCAATAACATGTAGGTGTATTTAGTTAAGTCACTATATATATCATCTTTCATGTAACATGTACTATACATGTCATGTGGCTTACTCAAACGACAGAAAGAGTTTAAGTTAGGCCAAATAAAATTAATTATTAACTGATTGGTTATGTAGAGGTACCTTACCAGTGTTGTTAGTCTCTATACTATAGTTCCTGTTACACGATCAAGGTTGTACCGTTTTACACCGATTGGTTTATACGCTACAGACATGTATACAAACTGACCACAGGTCGAAGCAAGGTAAAAGCCGAGTAGACTGGTCCTGTATATGTTTTTAATCCATAACAACAAGAAAGGCATATCAATTTGGCATTGTAAACCTAGACCTGTACGTAGAAAACAATAGAAAACTGTTGCCTTCCTGTGGGTGAAGGTCATAAAGACATAAGTTACAAACAAATACCTACCAACAAGAGAAGGACACCTCATCCCCACCCAGATGGATGTAGTGGTCGGGGAACACCTCGGCCACCTCACCGAAGAAACTGGCCAGAAAAGCATATGTAGAGTTGAGGGTTGGATCAATGGGTCCAAAGTTGCCATTGGGTTTGCCAGAGGAGTAGCACTTCGTCAGCAAGTTCTGAATTCCCTTTCCCCAGGACTGGGTGTGGCCTAGAGGAGACAATACATGGGAGGTAAGAGCAACAGCCAAGGCACTAGAAATCTCCCGTCATCCAGGATTGCATTTAAATCTCATTTATCTATCTGATCTCTACATCCATCAAAACTCTATTTTAAAAATAACAAAATAGTTTTGTTTCTTTAATTAATTCAATATCATCTTTTAGAATAAAATGTTCACTAACACCTAAAAAAAATAACACCAATTCTAATGAAATGGGGCTATCCCATAGCAAGCTTGTGTGTGATTTAGATTACCTGGTGTGTCAAACTCAGGGATGACCCTGATTCCCCTCAGCCTAGCATACTCTACAATTGCCTTGATTTGTGCTTGAGTGTAGGTGTGGGACAGACCAAAGTAAGATCCCTGAAACAATATAAAGTATGATTCCTGAAACAACATAAAGTATGATTCCTGATACAATATAAGGTATGATTCCTGAAACAATATAAAGCTTGATTGCTGAAACACTATAAAGTATGATCCCTGAAACAATATAAAGTGTCAGAGCTGAGGTAGGTGTGTATGAAGCGTTCTTGTTCATAAATAAATAAATATACAACATTTGATATAATGCCCTATCTAGCTAACTTAAGTCACTCTAAAGCGCTTTACAGTACATAGATATACAATTTAATGCAATGAATACAATTAGCATATACATTAATCGATACAATTTTAAGAAATTCGCAGGAGCTGCCTTATAGTGTCAGATAGGTGTAGGACATGTCCTCTTACCGTAGCACTCATCTGAGGGAACAGGATACTTTCATATGGGAATGCCTGGTCATCTACAATGTGCCAGTGGAACACATTGAACTTGTTGTAAGCCATAGCATCCTGTAACATACAGAAAAGTTCTGTGTGATGTCAAATGGAAAAGCTAACCATTATGACATACAACAGTATTGTCATCTTTATTATATAATTTTGTTCACAGCCAATACTTTAGAATCCAGTTGCATTTTTTTCGATTTCAACTTTCATGCAATACCTGTAAAACAATAATTTGAAATTGTCCTATCAAGAAAGAAAAGTACTCTCAGTTCTTAATCATTAGAAAGCCGTTTCATTGTTTTATTTATGCTAAGTGTTTTTTTTATCTATTTAATAACAATCTACACAGTGTGACTAAAATTTTCAGGAAGCTGACTTTTTCATGCACTATGTATTCTGATGAGTAAGTAAGTATTCACCAGATGTTTGAATTTGCAGCAGACTTTTCTCGCAGACAAATGTAAAGATTTTCAGCATACCAGATACATAACTAATGTTAAACACAAAGATTTAATTTACAGGCCAACAATTTTAAAATGAGTATCTCAGAAAACCTTTAACACAAGATTTTAGACATTTTGGTTTGCAGCCCACACACAGCATTTTGTAATATTTTTCTTGTTGTTTAAAAAACGTGTATATTTTGTTTTAGACTTAAAGAGTACAGAGAGAAAATTGGAGAGTCAAATTACCAGGTTCTTCTTTAGGACCTCCACAGTCAGGAAGTGGCGTGAAGAATCGAGGAGAATTCCACGGTATTGAAATCGTGGGAAATCCACAATGACTGTCTTGTTGACCTCAAACTATATCAAAATTGTTGAAATAAAACAAAAATTAATCACATTAACATGTAAACTATAATTTATAAAGCAAGTAAATGAAAAGAATTCAAGCTTAAGACCAACCAGTATATTTCACATCTGCATGTCATTGTTTCTTATGATGCATCCATAAACTGATAAATGTTGAAGGTGTGTATTATCATGAATCTTGTATATTACAGAGCGAGACCTTCTCAATTGACATGAGAAGTATTTTCGATACAATTTTTAGCCGTGGTTTGAAAATTTGCTATTCAGTTCACAGCTTCACTGTAGATCTAAGCACTTGCAGTTGAGTGAAATTCCCTATATTAGCCATTACCTGGCCATCCAAACCTTCGTAAATCAGCTGACTGAAGGTCTCCAGACCCCTCAGAGCTCCCCATACTGTTTTGGCAACTAACTGGGAAGTAGGACTCGCCACTGTCAAGTTATCTGGAATAAAAATCTTTCAATTAATATTATATAATAAACAGTCCCTACTTTTTTTTAAATATCTGTAAGCTATGTAGTATACACCTTACAGTACAATGTGAAAAGAAGGTCTGCTGTACAACCTTTTATCTTATCAATCTTAAAATAAATGTGTTTAAAAACAGTTAGCTTTATGCAGGTCATTTCAATGTACATGTAATTAAAGACCGGCAACTATCATTAGGTTTATTTTTGTTACTACAACACAATGTACTTGTGTTTGAAGGCACCATTGAAAATGTTACTCTGGAGTGTTGTAGTTTTATACTACTTAATGGTAAAACTGCATGCAATTACTTTATGTCAGCAAAAAATACTTCAAAATTACCAATAAAATGTGTTCTATTCTGAATCAAAGCTATTAATCTGAATCTGGTAATGCTAAAATGTATTCCACAAGATGACCATTGTATGGTGTTCCTTAACTGCTTAAAACTATCACCTGAATACTAACAATGATCGGGTTAGACGTACCGTCTCACACCGAAACTACCCGTTTCCGAAACGTCTAGAATTCCTAACGACCTTCGTAAGTGCAACTATCGTAGGCTTACAGATTACAATTAGGTGATACAACCAAGGGTGCTAATACAATACATTTACATCCCTGATGCAGCCTCGTCAATAATGTATAGCATACACAGACGTACACGCTTCATTGGACTCGAGAGCCGGGTACTTGTTGTCGGCAGTATCACATGCCTCCTGAACATGCACGCTCAATGAGTTCACGCTTCCGTCGGCGGAGCTGAAACGGTCAAATCCCGGAAAGAACTTAAGTCGAGTGTCAAGTTCTGCATCACCGAAGATTATCTGTTCGTAGCGTCGTATTGCAGCCGTCAGAGTGTCGCAGGTCGCACCAGTCACCGGGAAATCAAACGACAAATAATTCAAGGAGAATGTTTCGGAGCTTGGCGTGTAGATTTGAGGCAAGGGCCACGGTTCCCCTCTCGTTGGTTTCGCTCCGTGATAGTCGTCTTGGAGAGGCAACTGACTATTCCCCCAAATAAATTGAAAACAACAGCAGACGCACAACAATCCAAACATTGTTAGTTCCGCCATCTTTACCAACCAAGTCATGTGATCTAGCAGTCATATGACCGCTAGATAAAAGAGGCGCCGGTGGGTGTTATCTGGCCATGGGCTATGATCATGATAAGCGTTCAGGGTTTTTTCATTTTCATATTTGTTTGCTGTTTTAAAACGAGAAAACATATCACTATTACTGTCCGGGAAAACATACACTACTGTAGTTATTTAAATCAGATACGTTACTATATATCGCAACATCATGTTAGGGCATATGAGTATCTGTCTTCAAAGCCATATATACGTCTCTGCACGGACTTAGATAGCAATCTAATCTAATTCCGTGTTTAAAAAAAAAAACCAAAACAATGTTTTAATAAGCATATATGTCGTGCTACACGAAACTGAACCAAAGTGTCAACAAATACACGTGTTTAGGCCTCCGTCACACAATCAGGATTTTTACTGCCGTCCTTGAAAGGACCACGGAATTAGATAAGCTAAGTCCGTGATAGGACCATTCCCGATTAAAATTTGTCAAAAGTCTTATCAAGATCCTGTGATTCGTGGCGGGAAATTCACAGTAAAAACATTTATTTAATCACGACAACAATCAGATATTGTTCAAGAAGCGTACCGATTCAGCCGTTTCCAGCCGAATTCTGACCCGACAGCGTCCCGATTCTCCATAATGCGATCCGACAGTGACTCCCCCACCCCCTACCCCAAATCATGCCCGTTCATCACGACAGCGTCCCGGTCCACAGGACACCGTCCAGACACCGTCCGGACAACACAGGACATTGTTACGATTTTGATCCGATACAGCAGAATCTGTCACGACCACGGAATTAGATTAGTCTAAGTCCGTGGTCACGACATAGTCACGATTGTAATCCGACTAGACATAATCGGCTGAGTTTCCCGAATGTTACGGGACGCACCTTACTGTCGGCAGTGCTTGGCCGACCTCTCCGGACCATTCCCGATCCGTAGGACTCTGTTACGAACGTATACGACTGCGTTCAGACAATGATAGGACATTCCAGATCATTGAGGATAGTAATCCGACTTTTCACTTTTCGTGTGGTAGGGCTGTCTGATCTCAAACGGGAGCCATAATCGGCACTGTGTGAACACCGCATTACATTGCATATTCAAACTCATAGAGAAGTATTCAAGGAAAATACTTATGTAAGTTTGTAAGAAAGTAAGAAAGATATGTTACTGCATGTAAGAAGAAATCAAACGATTATATATCACCTCTCAATCGTCCCGCTCAACAACTTTAAGCCGCAAGTTTATTACTCATATGACCAGCGTGACTTCTTCGTTCACTTGAACATATGCCGCCGGTGTATCTGTGTTGATGGCTATTATTACAGTTATTTATATATACACTCACACAAATTAAGGTATATAAGGGCTGATCATGTTGATTAACCCAGTGTATACTATTGAGTGGTATTTATGATACTGTCGGTGTATACTTCGTGATTAAAACAAAATATTTATCAATCAGTTAAGACATGTTATTTTTTTTTAAATGTCAGTGACATTTACAAGTATATACCTAGCCAAAGAAAAACACCGATATATGTCACTGTAACACGCCGATATATGTCACTGTAACACGCCGATATATGTCACTGTGACACGCCGATATATGTTACTGTAACACGCCGATATATGTCACTGTAACACGCCGATATCTGTCACTGTAACACGCCGATATATGTCACTGTAATACGCCGATATATGTTACAACACGCCGATATATGTTACTGTGACACGCCGATATATGTCACTGTAACACGCCGATATATGTCACTGTAACACGCCGATATATGTCACTGTAATACGCCGATATATGT